TGGCGGGGCAGGCCAGGGCGGGGCCCAGCGCACTTCATCCTTACTGTGCATGCACCGAGAGAAGGAGTTGCGTCAGACGAACGCCCCGCGCCAGACTTGACATTGTCTCCGCCTCGCGTCCGTCGCGGTGTTGGCCAGGGCATTATCCTGCTTCTTGTCCTGCATTTAGGTCTCTACAGCAGGGCAGACACTACAAGCAAGCGGCTCGACCAGCCCCCCCCCCCCCCACCTCTCCTATCCACTAGCTCCACAGGTACTTCCCCCGAGTGTCGGTTGGGTGGCCTACCTCGACGGCGCCCCTCAAAGCCTCACACACAGGTCTACTCTCTGCGCCAGATCCTACAGATAGAATGAAGATGAACCTGTGCAAACTTGGGTGCAAATAAAAGTAAAGAGATGTCAACATTCTTTGCATTTATTAGCGTCACGCTAACATTAACAAGTTCTTTAAAAATCCACTAATAATTTATTGGCGCTAAAATTAACAATCACATTTTAAAAATAACATGCTATGTACATTGGTTGTTATTTAAGTTACTAGATAAAATTGAGGGAGGGGGGAAATTTGGACTAGATTATTTTGGCATTTAAATTTAAAAAAATTAAGATGGGACACTTTACATTCTCTTCATGATGTTGGCGGTCAGTGAGGCGGGCTTCGGTCGTTCCACATCCACGTCGTCCTCTTCCTCGTCCTGCGATACGAGGAAAGGGAAAGTTAAGCTGTGCGTCGTTCACCAAGTTCACGCAAAGTCTTAAAAAAAAGGGAAAAAAACAGAGTGCACAGAGATGTTGAGAGTAACTATAGTCGCTCACCTCATCCAGCTGGTCGCGCAGCGTCTCCAGCCGCGACGTGCTGTTGAAGGTGTTCATCACGCAGGGCGGCGACGTCACCCTCGGGCTCTTGTTGGCGTGGCTCAGCGTCCTGCCGATGCCAAACGCGCTCGTCACAATCACCTGAGTCTTCACAGCCATCCTGGACGAGAGGGGAAACAAATTTGTCGTGAACATTTTGGTGTTGAGTCCTACAAATTGTTGAACTCAGGGGGGCTGCAAACACCCCGTGCACGACCACTCACTGGGCGGCCTTGCTGATCTGTCTGGAGAGCGCCTCGGCGCCGCTGCTGCTCGCGCCGATGCCGGCCTCCTGCGGCGTCTCCCGCTGGACGAACTTGGCCGGGTCCGCGACGCAGTTGTGGGTGGCCAGCGCCACGCTCCAGCGCTCCAGCACCTGGGCCTTGGCCAGGACGCCGGCGCCAGCGTCCGGCAGACGGAAGTAGGAACAGCTCTCCCGCACCTGCGCCTTGCCCCGGAACACCACGCCCAGCGCGTTGCTCACGCCTAAATACAAACAAAAACACACACAAATGTAAAACTAAAAAAATACATGAATTACAATTACAAAAATTTAAAAAAATCAACTACAAAAAAATTACTAAAATTAATAAAAAATACAAAAAAATTACTAGAAAAAAATCTTTAAAACACCCTTTTCTTGGGGGACACAGTCTTGGGCACTATCTACAAATAAAAGGGCACTGAGTTCACCTGCACCATCGGCGACGTCCACAATCTTCCGGACAGTCGACAGGGGCAGCATCTGGAGGAACTTGTAGGGCTTGCCGTCCACCGCCTTGAGCACGCGTCTAGGCAGCGCGCCGCCGGGCGTGTGCGCCCCCTTCAGCATCATCACCACCTTGGACTTCTTCTTGCACACCAGGATCACGTCGGTGAACACGAAGAAGGCGACGACGCTGCCCTGCTTGCCGAACCCGCCCTCCGACACCTCCACGCCCTCGCACTCCAGGATGAGGGACCTGTGGGAGGCAATGACGTCCGCCTGAAATAGATGAAAGGGAAAAAAGTTGAGATTGAAAAAAATCGAAACACTGCACACTTGAAAAATAAATTGTGTTTTTAAATCTTACCGGGCATTTCTCAATGATATTGTAGACGTCAAAGACCTTGCACAGGGACTCCATCTTCCTCTTGTCCTCGTTTATGAAGGAGAGAACGTGGGAGAGGCTCTCCAAAGCTGACTCCAGCTGTGGCTTGTCAGGACTCTTCTCTGGAGTGTGCTTGAGGATTTCTGAAGGAAAATATTTAAAAAGCTATAGTTAGAGATCTACTAAATTTTAAAAAAGATGGCAATTTTATTTTCTAATTAAGGCAAAATCAATTTTTTTTTTGAAGATTTTTCTTTTAAATACGATATTTTTAGAAAAGTTGTACTTACCTCTGAGCAGCAGCACGCAGCTGGCCAGCCTCTGGACGGGCCTGATCATGAGCTCGTGCAGCTCCTGGCGCCCGCACTCGGGCTTGTTGCGGCACACCTTCAGGAAGGCGTTGAACCTGGGGTTCCGCGCGCGCGTCTCCTGCAGGGCCTCCTTGGCGTCCTCGAAGGACGTCACGAACGGGGCGTAGTCACGGATCAAGTCAGGGCTCTGCCGAATCAACAGGGGGAAAAAGGGGGGAATCAACGAACAAAAAACGAAATGAAATGGAAAAAGGACATACGCGAAAGCGCAAGTAAGGTACTCCGAGGGTAGTTTACTAAAAAATAAATCTAGAAAAAAATGAACAAACTGTTTTTAAAATCAAGTCTTCTTAAAAAGAAAAATCGGTGTGCGCTTGACTTAAAGGAAAGTACCCCTTGGGTGCCCCTCGTCTGACCAAGCTCACTCTCACGCTATCCCAAACTTACGTATTTAACAAAAACCTGCCCGACTTGGGCCGTATCCGTCCAGTTGTTGTACAGGAGTCGGAGGTCCTTGAGGATGTGGTGGTGCGTCCTGGAGATGGGCACGACCGAGCCGAAGATCATCTTGGCCTCCGTCGGCGACAGGAGGCCGCCGTTGATCTGCACCTCGTTCAGCGCCTCGTCCCGGATCTGGGGGGGAGAAGCCCCGACACGGTTACACCACCAGACCGACAGGAAGGCGACGGACCCCACAACCCCCAGAGAGCAAGCTCGCCAGCGAGAGGCCTTTTGTGGCCGCCACCGAGGCACCCACCTGCAGGATGGCGTCCAGGATGCCGACGTAGTTCTCCTCGGTGTGCATGAGCTCCAGGAAGGCGCCGAAGCGCGGGCTAATGGTGTTGGCCGCGGCGCTGTCGATGTAGCCGCCCCGGCTCAGAGACACCCGACCGCGGCGGGGTGACGCAAGGGCAGCGCCGGAGGGCGTAGAGGCGCTCGAACACGCTGACCTTGGCGTCCCTGGTGTTTGGGGCGTCCCTGGCGTTCTTCTTGGCGTCGGCGAGCTCCTTCTGCGTGCTCGGTGCGGCGTGCCCCGGGGGTTGCAGCGAGGCGACCCACTCTGCGGTGTCCCTGAAACACATCGTAAAGGTTGCTGTCAAAATCGGGGTACAAAGACCATAGGGCCCCATGACATTTTTGACCTCAGCATGCAAATACCAGGACCGCAGGACGTTTTTTGACCTCAGGGTGCAAATATCATAGAGACCGTGATATTTTTACACCGAGTTACAAAATAACGTGGATCGTCCAACGGTCAGTTGACTACAAGAAACGCACCTGAGAGGCGAGCGCGCCGCGCAGGAGGGGCCGGCGAGGCAGGAAGGAGGGAGGTGGACGCGCGGCGTCCGAGGAGGGAGGTCGCCGACGGAGCTGCGGCGGCCGGCGAGGACCCCGGCGACGCGGCCGCGGACACCACCACTGTGCGCACGAAAAACTGAACGACAGGTTTCAAACGGGCGGGAAGCACGGGCGAGCGCGCGGGCGCAGCGGGGGTGGGGCCGCGCGACTTACATGTCCTGTCCGAGAAGAGGCCCGGGGTGGTGGGCGACATCGGCGAGCCCTCGGACGTCAGCGTCCTGTCCAGGCCCGGCGAGCCGTTGCGGGGCGAGCTTATGTCTGCCAGGGAGAGGCGACGCAGGTGCTGCCGCGGGTGTTTGGCGGGGTGCTTGAGCACGAAGGGGCTGTCGGCCGAGCTGTCCGGGTCCACGTTCTCCTTGTTGACGTGCAGCATGGGCCCGGCGGGGCGGCGGACCACCGAGCGGCCGCGCGGCGGGGGGTGGCGGAAGCGCTCGGCGGGGACCACGTACTCCTCCTCGGCCACGCGCACCATGCGCTGGATGCTCGTCCAGAACCACTCGGCGCGCACCACCCGCGCCTCGGGGCGCTTCCCGCTGGGCACCACGACCGGGGACACGTCGTCGGCGACCTGGGGGAATCAGTCAGTCCAGAGCAATGAGTGGAATTTTCCCCACGAAACCCAAACGATATTCGATGATTGATAATTTTAGATGGCCTCCCAGACACTTTTGCAACAATTACAGAATCCGAATCAACTGCAGTGAGAACAAAAGTTTCGCCGTACTCAAAATGGGACAAGTTTCACTCACAACGTGCGTGCAGCGGGGGTCGCTAGCCTCCACGTGCACACCGCCCTGGGAGGTCAGCTGCTCGACCATGTCCGCGTGCTCGTCTGGCGGGAAGCCGATGAAGGCCACGAACACGTCGACGAAGGGCGGGAGCAGGAACAGCATCTGTGATGGGGGCAGAATAGAGATATTAAAATCCGAAATTTCTAAGGCAAAATTGGAAATTTTTCTAGAGAAAAAGATTGTTAAAAAATAAAGGATTTCTAGACAAGTTCGGAAAAAAATTTAGGAGAAAACTGAGTTTTAACAACAAAAATTTTCCCAAAAATCTTTCTTTGTAAAATTAAAATCCCCGGGGGACAGAGCTGATAGCACTCGGCGCTGTGGCCGCGACACCCACCAGATGATCGTCCGTGGCGTGCACGGTGGCGTCGAAGCGGCACCTCCAACACTCGCGCACCCACTCGACCGACATGACGGGCACGTTGAACACGGTCGCGTAGTGGTAACTCTTGCTCTTGGTCGTCGTGGATATGATGTGCGTCACCCTGCTGTCAGGGCACTCTCGGACGCTGCCCCCCATGGCCCGGATCAGCGCCATCAGCTCCATCTGAAACGCGCCAACACCAAGACTTAAGTCCTAAAATTTTCCGGAAAAATGGAAACCTTTTCCAAAAATAAAATCGGAAAAAAATGGAATATTTCCAGATTAGGACCAAAAAACCCCCAGAAATTTTCAGGAAAAATTCAAGAAAATTCAAACAAAAATTATTGAAAGTACTTTTTTGGCAAATTTAAACCCCCGCCCAAGACGACACGATGTACTCCATGCGCGCGGGGCGATACCCCACACTGAGGGGTGGCTGCAGCGGCCCCGCGCCCGCGCGGAGGGGTATAGACACGGACTCACCCCCAGGTTTACGTCTCGGATGCCCGTGAAGCACGTCTTCACGTTCCTCATGCTGAAGCAGAAGATGGGCCTCTTCTCGATGGGCAGCGGGATGTCGGCGTCGGCGCACGCGATCAGGGCGACCGAGCCGACCACTCGCCTAGATTTAGAAAGCGTGCCACAATTTAAAAAAAAAATCATGCCTCCAATAACCTTCCAAACAAGTGCGCGACACACCGATACACCGAGAAGTGCCATCCGTATAGCGTTTTTACCATTTGATGTTCCCGATCTTCTCCAGGGACTGCGGCGTGAAGTCCTCCACGACGAGCAGCACGGAGGGGTCGTCCAGGAAGCCCACGCCGTCCGCGGACCTCACCACCGGCAGGCCGAAGTGCTGCCGACAAACCGTAAACGCAGGACTTGGAAAACACGCTCTATGTAGTTTTGTTATGATTTAAACACAAGGGAGGAGGGGGGGGGGGGTCTCACCTCGGCTGCCACTTCCACAGTTGAGCTCACTTCCCCGATGAGGCATATCTTGGTGCGCGGCACGTATCCTACACGAACAGCAAAGCAGAGCCCCCACAAGTAGTACGCGATTCCCCTTGGAGTACTTTTCAGTAATTTTTTTTCAGTTTTCAAAAAACATCATTAAAATCACACGTTTCCCCGCGCGAACACGGCGTCCGCCACCTTACCTTGCTCCTCGATGAGAGTGGAACTCGAACGCGCGCAGCTGAACAGGCTCGACGACAAGGAGGCCAAGGAGGCCACCGAGGCCACGGATCTCAGCGACGCCCTGTCGAACTGGTCGTCCGGCGGGTGGAGGTGGAGGTGGTGGTGATAGTTCATGGCGTTTGTTGATGAGGAGGCGTGCTTCTTCACATGTGTCCGGGACGCGAACGAACAGCAGGTTGCTCGGAGCGGACTGACTCTGTCGACGCGTCGGAACCGAACTGGACTGGCTGGGGACGCTCGGGGCCGGGCCGGCGGGCGGGTCGGGGCAGGCGTGGGAACGCACAGCACAGCGAGCAACCAACGGCCAGGCAACTCTCACGGTCAGGTGGACCAATCAGCAATCAGAGCGCTCACCGCCCCCTCTCCCCCCGCGGGCGTTCCCTCTC